AAGTCATTATCGTGCTAACAAAGTTTGGCAATGGTCGTAAAATTCCTGTGGAGTTCTATTGTCTTGCGAAGCTAAGGAGAGGTCATTATATAAAGCCGTTTCGTCCCGCTGGTCGGAAAAATTATTTATTAGTGCTGTCCTAATACCTAACCAATTTTTAGGAATGCCATTGAGTTTATAGTGCAGGCAGCGGTTCCTGTTATTTCGTTAAGAAAACCGTTCAAAAGAAATAAATTAGAAAATTCACTATCGGGCGCATTTCTTAGGTACTGCGAGGCTAGTCTGTCACATATTTTTATAAATCTAGTTAAAACGTTAGGGTTCACATCAAACTCAGGGACGAGGCGTAAAGCCTTAAAAATTGTGTCCGGGTCATGGACCATCTCTGTTAAATAAGTATTATTTAATTCTAATTCTAAATCTAAATCGGTTTGCCTATTATTATCTAATATATGACGGCGAGCCTGTCGGGATTCAGGCTCCCGAGAGCGAGTTACTCTAGGATGATAAATCTTGAAGGGAAAGATTTAAAACTTAGGTATATATTTATATTATTATAAGGGAAAGCAACACGAGATCAATTCAATTGTACTCACGTGGATTTCATCTGGTTTCTCTCGACGAATCGAAGGCTGGATTCTCCTCCTGGTCTACAGCTGGTCCGTAGATCCGGATAGTCTTCGAAGGGACTTGATAGCCGCCGGGGTGCTTCACAGTTATGAAAAGATATTCCCCAACTATCGCAAAACTACCCCTGAGTATCCTACCGACTGCGCCAATTACGTTAGCTGCGGCCGGAGGTTCGAAAAAAAACCAAATTTACTTATAAAATATATTTAAAATAAAAATTACAAATTATGTTACTATAGCTAATTAATCTATCAGAATGAGCCTGGTGTAAATGAGTACGCGATATTTAATAGATCCGGCACGTGGCTTGAATTGCTGCGCCTGCATTCCTGTCGGTTTACATAGCAACTGTTCTAGGTACATAGCGATCTTCATATCATAGGTATATGTAACTCACTATCGCATTTTATTGATAAACAGATAATTGCATTCGAGTCTTTTGTTTAGTAATAAATAAAAGAAAACGATCTTTATCTACCTAAATTAAAAAAATTAAAAACTGTTTGACATACCAGCTGTTTGTCTTCAATCACTTGCCCGAAATTATTTAAACAATAATAGGACCCCATTTCAAATATAAACTAATAAACTGATTGCTGAAACATACATTTTATACGCTGAACGAATTTTATGATATTAAGGGTTAACGACTTTGAGCGTCCTCATATGGCAATCAGTGTAGGACCACGTCTCGGTTCCATAGGTCAGGTTTTGAGGTATACCTGAGGAGAAGATGCGTCGTAATTTCCCGAACGCTGCCCAGCCGAGTTGAATCAGTCGATTGGCCTCTCGGTCGAAGTTGGACTTACCTAGTCGGATTATTTGTCCCAGTTAAGCGTACTCGTCAACAACTTCGAGCTTAGTGCTCCCAACCACTACCGGCATAGGTGTACCATGGACATTAAACATGCTTTTTGTTTTGTCCATGTTCATCTTAAGACCTATCCGTTGGGAGACATTATTAAGGTCATTGAGCATAGTGCTTAAGTTCTCCAGCGATTCTGTCATAAGGAATAGCCCAACGGATTAGTAAGCTGAAGTGGCAATGGGCCGGCCATATAGCTCGAAGAACCGAAAACCACTGGGGAAGAAGGGTTCTCGAGTGGCAGCCTCGTACCGGTAGGCGTAGTGTAGGGTGACCCCCCACTAGATGGAGTGACGACCTGGTAAGACATGCAGGAAGTCGATGGATGCAGGTGGTTCACGACCGTGCTTTGTGGAATACCTTGGGGGAGGCCTATGTTCAGCAGTGGACTTGTGAAGGTCTGTAGTGATGATGATGATGATGAAGGGTTAACAGTTTTTTTTTCATTCTTGTAAACATTTTTTTTAAATTGTATCATAAATATTTTAGCAAAAAGTAACTGTTGATACCTTTTATATTATGTCATCTTTAACTATTGCACATAGTAAAGTAATAAATATAAATTATTGTTAAATACAATAATTTATATTTATTACTACAACTACAAACAATTTTAAATTTCAACCACAATCCAATTGTTTTTAATTAACATACAATTTTCTCCAAAACTATCGTGAAATCTATGAAAGCGAAAAATTTAGAAAATAAATAATAAAAAAACATCCCAGACCACTATTTGCTTGGATATTCAGTAATTAAAAATGGCGTCGCCAGTCGCACTGAATTGTTAGGATCGGCGTCGAAAAATTAATAGATGGCGGAAGGAAAAACACTTTTTGTTTTTCAATCGTTCATTTCGGGTTCCGATGTTTTTTATGTGCCAGTAAGATTTATTGTTATCTTCTAAAATAGACCACGAAGGTTTTTCCACTGTTTATTAAACTTATAAATGTTGTAAAGGGAGTGAAAGAACGCGTATCACATATATTTGGGTGACAAACGCGTGCACAGTCCACCTGATGGTAAGTGGATGCTGGGGCTGATAGATATCTATATTTATCATCGATTGCGAATCAAAATGCTGCGTTGTCACCCCTAAGGACTAAAGTGGAAAAATTGTTCCCAGTTAAAAAGGTCTCCAGTTCTCTACACTAGCCATACGAAAAACACAGTAGCATTAAGATTTTATTTTACGCTGGTATTCTGTGAGAGCGTGGTTATATCCCGTCGACCCGACCCATTCGGGCTACAACGATAATTTAGCTGCAATGGTTCCACAATGTACGAACATGTTTTCCTTTATTACCGGCTGGTATTAAAAAATATCAAAAAATAATTTAAAAAATATTATTACAGATTATTGGTTTGCCTCCAAAATTACATTACAACATAACGGCCACCAGCCAAACACTGACCGCACTTATATTTGCGTCTAAAACAAATTTTCTCATTAAAACCGCAAACCCTTGCCAAAGCAATTAACAAAACTAAATGTTATTTACCCAACAAATCGCTAGGCGAACGCAGCGTGGAGGCGAACAAGCGGCCATGCTTAAATCAAAACAAAGGAGTTCTTATTTTCGCCGTAAAATTGGTAATGGGATTGGAGTGAACGTGCACTATTTTCCTTTTCCTGACATGTTAAGGGTTAGGCACACTAGACATGAATTAAAAATATAATTAGAGTTGAATTTTTTTTTTAATTTGGACTGCAGAACGAATGGTTTTCCAAGACCGGGATAAGACTACGCTTGTACAGAATACCAGCATAAAATATTGCTGCTGTGTTTCGTATGGCGAATGTCGAGATTCCGACCCTGTTCACAAGTTAAGAAGCATTCAATCCTTGTTTGGCGGTGAAGTAATATCTATTATTCTTTAACGTCCCGTTGATTTCGCAAAGGGAGAAAGAGGAAAACTGATATAGGAGATGGCAGCTGCATCTTTTTGATAAAAATAATAACAATAAGTAAAATTATGAAAATCTGCGATTGCCAATCTGCCTGTCGAGCGTGGCAAATATAGCAAAGTCCCAATATCGAGGCAACTTATGGAGGAGGCCTATGTTGATTTTTTTGAGACAAGAACGGATGGATGGCTAGGTACAAACCATCTAATTTTTAGAGTATGTCGTACGTATCCTTGCGGATAAAAACGGACAATTGTGCAGCAACCCTTACATCGAAACAAGGTAGCTTCCCATCGCCAGTGAGTAATTAAGTTCCTTCTAACAGATTGATAGGTCTATGCGTTTCGCGTTAGTTTTAATTGGGTATTGTTCCGGACGAAATAAGTTCGCTCCGCGTATTCACTAGCGCCATTTTATTTTAACATGTAGTTCCACGATACTGTAAACGACACAGCTGGAGGAAATGCACACGAATACGGGGACCTTTGTTAAAGATGCAGTTTGCTTTTGAAAATAGAAGCTTTGTGTTAAACTGATACTTTCTATTAGTATTATATGGTAAAATTAGCCCATATTGCTTTGATTAAATAAATTAATTATTATGCATAAATATAACGATATCAATTCCATTACTACTTCTCTTTTATCTTCATAAGTAATAATTCTTCTGTACGAGTGTTTGTCACTGAGCTCGGTTGGATCGATTTTGTTAATTTTCTTTGTGTGTGTTTAACTGGATCCCAAATACACACAAAATGGATAATTTAATAGAGTGGACTGAATTTTGTCACTACGGCCAGTCTTAACAGTAACGCTGCAGCTATATTATGGTTGTAGCACGAATGGGCTAGCTCGACCGGGGTGGGACCACGCTCTCACAGAATACCGACGTAAAATAGCAGCTTAATGCTACTGTGTTTCATATGGTGAGTGTAGAGAACCGGAGACCCTTTTACTGGAAACGAGGAATTCCATCTCAGTCCCCAGGGGTGATAACGCATCTTTTATTTCTAAATTGAGGATGAATGTAGATGTTTACGGGCCACAGCATCCACTTACCATCAAGTGGGCTGTGTGCTTTTTTGTCACCCATATTCTATAAAAGAAGACCAGCCATCTGCTCAGGACAACAGTAATAAGGAAGTATAGGGAGTTAAAGAAAATATTAATAAAGAATAATATTACACAGGTGCACTCTCTATTCACTCACTCTCATAGTCCGATGGGGCGATTATCCAACATAACTGGAGAGAGATCAGACGCAGGACTAACGACTTTCCGAGTCACGAAAGTGAACACCGCCACTTTTCTGACTCCGTGATGCTACTGGGAATTTATTTACAGAAAAAACCATTTAAGTTATATTGACCTAACCCAGGATTCGAAACCAGGACCTCATGATCAGCAATGACAGTTACGACTACAAGGCAGTCATGAATCATATTAAAACCATATTTAAAGTGTGCTGTATTTCGTGTTGTGGTAAAGATTTGTATGTTGTCTATATCTTGTCAATTATGGTTCTGATATGTTGTTATATTCAACATAGATTCATAGTTATAACTTATTAAAACTCTTATTTTTCTTTGTTCCCAGAATGTCAATATCTCACGAGCCCAATGCTACGTTCGCTGAATTAGTGATCACTAATGTGAAACCAGATGATGAAGGAGTATACCGGTGTGAGATCACCTACCTTCAAGTTGGGGAGGATTGTAACACCGTGCAGGTCACCGACTTCCACACATACAGTAAGTAAATTTTTATTTTTTGTAGTGGACTCGTACGGTTGTGTTTTTGCCAATGTTAAGTAATAGGATATTATTTTTTGAAATAATTTGTTTAAAAAATATCTCACATCATGTTGATTGTTTTTTTTTTTTTTGTTGAGTTTTTAGGAAATTGTTACGACAATTTAAGATAGCAGACGGTTGTTGACAACATTATCTCAAGTTTAAATGGCGCCTGAGCGGACAAAATAACTAGGTTTATATCAACATCGTAATAGTTGTTTCGTCATTTCCACTAAAATTTTACATACTCAGTCACTTAATACACCAAATAGCAACATTTTTACGTATCAAAATCCACTACAAACTATTATTTAAATGATAAACAGGAGCAGCAAATCACCGACGGTCGAGTTCCCTCCAAAACTACCTTATCCAATTTAATTTTATTCTAGTATATTTTTTAACACTAAAGACACTGACGTTAATTTACATTAAGCCTTATATTTCGCATTATATGCCTTAATGTGCATAACCTGCATTCCATTCTGAAGTAGCTAAACTCCCATCGTAAATTTCTACGTACGTACGTGACTTACGTGTGCAACCTAATTCATTTCCCGCCGGCATCAATGAAATTGTTCATTATAATTTTATGTTTTGACTAGCTGTTCCCCACGACTTCGTTCGCGTAGTATAATTACAACAATTTAAATTTGATCGGTTTGAATTTTTTGCGCGAAACCCTTCTTTTTTTAAATAAAAGTAGCTTAAGTTACTCGTTATAATATCAGCTATCTGCCAGTGAAAGTCACGTCAAAATCGATCCAGTCGTTTCGGAGATTAGCCGGAACAAACAGACAGACAAACAATAGGGCAAAGATAACACCTTTTGCTAGCATCATAAACGTAACAGAGTAAAAGTTTAAAGTCATAACTATCTTTATTCAACAAAAGATTCAATAACATTACAATTGTTTAAAAATAATTCTTTTCTCAATAATTATTACAAAAGCGCGCGCTTTTGCTTTACATATATTTTCCTATAGACAATTTGGCTTTAGGTTATTTTTTAATTGCTTTTAAAAAAATTCATATTTTTATTGTCTACAAACCTTATCTGTGTTGAACTACAAATATTGCCGAAAAAATTATGTAAATTGCCCCACGGGTTACGGAGGAGACAGATTTCAAAGAATCGTTTTGTGCGCCATGGGAGCTCTGCTCCCATAAATAACATCAGGTGCTAGTATTTTAATGTCAAATAAGACTTCAATTTCAGTAAAACAGATGAGGAAGTGTGCGAACGTAAAACCAGTCACAAAAACAACAAAACACTTCGGCTAAGAGCATTAGTCTTTTACAGCGCGGCGACATTAAACGTTTATGGCGCACCTGCTGAAAATCGATGGCAGTAAATTTACTTTTGAATTACCGCGTCACAATTTTTTTATTGAATAAGGTTGACACACGAGCACACAGTCCACCTGATGGTAAGTGGATGCTGTAGTCCATAGACATATACATTTATCCTCAATTAAGAATCAAACTGCAAATCCGTCGTCACCCCTGAGGACTAAGGTGGAATGCCTCATTATCAGTAAATGGATTACACTTATCGTACGAAACACAACAGTATTAAGCTTGTGTTCTGCGCGTGGTCTTAGCCCGGTCGAGCCGACCCATTTATGCTCAACCATAATGTAGCTACAGCGTGGCTCTACCACGTGTAAAGTTTTGTTTAACCGTAAAAATAAGCAACAAACATAACAACTAAGCGAAATAATCAACTCTGATACTAATTACTGATATTAATTAACAATAAAATGAAACAAAAACTCTTTGCTTCTCGACATAAGAAATTAAACTTTTGTTTAATGATTTAGAATACGACACACATTGATTAAAACTACTTTTATGGATTTCATTGTGTTTAGTTTTAGCTTCTTAATTTCCAATAACGTTAATCCAATCAAAGGCAAGAAAATGTCCGCTGTTCTGCAGATATTTAGTCCTCCTCACGATGCTTTCCTTCACCGCCGAGCACGTGGCAGTTAAGCACACTACATTGAAATTAACAATTTCATTGATTGTTAAATATTAATTCGCAAAAATCCGCGTTATATAACAAAATGACGTGTCTTACCTAGTTTGAATAGTATCTCCCGACCTCCCTCAATTGCGTGCACTAGTATCCCCGTCAAAGGAAGTCCTAGCACCACTGCTCCCAACTCCACTACAGTAGGAAAGAAACACCATCATCGATAGTACGACACGTGTTTCTCTTCTAAACGAGGCATCCTCATGTAAAGTGGACTAGCTAACCGCAAAGTAAGCGGAACCCGAAACTGCTGCAACTTTCATTGGTGCCAGTGGGGATCGAACCCGGGTCCCTACGCGTACTGTTAAATTCACAGTAAGCGCTCAACCCCTGAGCTATCACAGCTACGCATTACGTATAACCATTATTAATTTACGTCAACATCGTTTTATCTTACAAACACTAATCCATACTATTAACGTATTGTGCTTTTATCAATAATAAATAATAATGAGTTATATTTTGGTTGGTAGTTATGTCATAGCGTGAGTAAATATGTCATTTTAAACGGTACTTTTTGTTCTATCACAACAAACTTAAATTTATATATATATATATATATATATATATATATATATATATATATATATATATATATATATCATTAATCTTTACACTCTACACAATAATATCTAAGGTGGATAATGATTTCTTAAATTTACGCGAACACTACACATTGAATAAAACTATTATTTACGGACTTTATCGCGTTTATTAATTTATTAATAATAATTTATTAATATTAAAAAAAAAACTGAAGGTAGCCGGACTAACTATGACATTGGGACGTCAAACATCTCAGTTCCCCCCGTTGACCATGGGTGCTGTAAAGCACCCGAAACGTCGGGATAATAATAAAAATAAATTAAAGTATTACGTAATCTAAGGTGGGATGTAGGATACCTTGTGCGTTACTCATGTCTTATAAATTTATTTTGTAGGCATGTTTAATATTACAGCCTATATTAGCCATACTTCGAGGCAAAAGTCTTCTCATTTTGAGAGGGTTTTAATATATAATAATATCCTCCAGACCAAATTTCAGTTTACGGCGGCCAGCCTCTACGGAGACTAGCCATCGGCGCTGGACAGCATTATAGTGCCTAAGTGTACGTGCAATCATAGGTGCACCCTCTATTCCCTCACTCATAATCCAATGGGACGGTAAACCGACACGACCAGAGAGAGATCAGGCGCAAGACCAACGGCTTTACGAGTTTTCCGAGGCACGGGGGTGAGACACCGCCCACTTCCTGACTCCGGGCAGCTACTGAGAATTTCTTGACGGAAAAACTCAGTAATTGATTTTTTGGCCCGACCCGGGATTCGAACCCAGTACCTCATGATCAACAGTTGCACTATTACAACCACTACACCAACGAGGCATTCAAATTATTTTATTTCCTCTCTAAGTATTCCTTAACCGACGAGCGCGTTGTAAATTAGTATTTAAAAATTGCAATTAACAACTTCATTGGTGCCGACTGGAATCGAACCAGGGCTGCTCGCGTACCTTGTGGTATCACGGCTGTATTCACGAATTTCCTATCCCCTCGATTTCATCAATGAATGATGTAAATTTTCTATTAAAACACAAATTTCACAATTAGTTGAATAAATTTTCTACATAAGATAAGAAAAGTTATTTATGGAATGTGATTTGATCTTATTCTTATAACTTGATGTTTAAAGGTAATTATTTCAAAAGTAGTATTTAAATTTGTAACTGTGAAAAAAATTATAAAAACCTTATCACTGTTTTATTCCACAAAATGATAAGCCTATTTAAAGCTTTATGCTTAAAATACCAACTAACTATTAGCCTAAACACATTATTCTTCGCAAAACGTAGTTGCGAACCCTAAATCCTGATACATCGACACATCCATATATAGAAAGGGATGTGAAAGTTAATCCATAAATTAATTAAGTATCGACAACACCCCGTCTCTATTTTCTCGGCCGGCACAAGCCGTTTCACTCCAAGGATATTGCTTCAACTGGCCTCAGGCTACACAATTCACAAGAGGTGCTAAGTACTTTTGTCTTTTTCTTCCTCCCCCACTTGTATATAACCTTCTCATGTGATAGTAGATATATGTTTTATTCGATACATCCCGTTGTTTAGAGTTGGGTTACTGTTTCCTCAAGATTATTGTATCGGCACTCGATTCGGGTAGAATATTGGATATATTGTGGTTATCCAGGAAAAATATAGTCGGTATGAAGTTATGGCAAAGTATTTTCTAAGTTCCTTTATTACGTTTCAATTCTTTCGGGTGTGTAGGGATAATCAAAAAGATGGAGGGGCATATAGTAATCTACTGTTTTTATCTAATAGACATGGCTGTTATGCCAATTAGTTTTTTTTAATTCATTTATTAAAAAAACATATGTGTAATAGAGCCATGGTTAAGCATGTTTTGGTTGCGCTACGAATAAGTTGACTCGACCGGAGATTGACCATTAAAATTACTCTTAAAATATACATTATAGTAAACAAACATACTACATCCAAACCCCGTATAAACACAAGCTAGTGATACTAGTTTCTCGACTCCACAGAGTCGTATAATAAGTTTTATTAAAGTGTAATATAATTATTTACTTTTCAGCAAATTGTTTTACGCAATCGGATTTATTATTATTAACAGGTTATTACTGTTTTAACCATTAGCTTGTTTTTACACTATACTGTAATGTTTTATAATGTTGGTACTGACTGTGTAACATAAACTAAGATAAGTGTGACATAATTATAGGATTAATTAATTGCATTATTGTTTGCGTTGTATAAATATTAGCTAACGTTACTGTTCAAATCAAAGCACATTGAAGTATTGTAAATTTGTTTTGAATAATATGTATACCTTCCGGTAGCAATTGGATTAATTGAAACTTTAAGTGTTGATTCACTTTG